TGCACTATGTTGTTTTTTTATCTTTTTCTTGTTTTAGTGTATATTTCTAATTGAACTCTACGCTCTGTTGCATTACCATCAAGCGTTGTACTGGTTATATTACCCATTTTTCTCTGTGACCACACTGGGGTAAAGTACATTTACTGGTACATGTCTTTCTAATTGAAGACACCTGTGTCAGGATCAGGTGGAACCAGAACACACAAACTGAATCATAATAAATAGCCTTCCCGTATGCTGGTCCTTAGAATGGCCGGGCTCAAGGGAATACAGAAATCAGCATAAACATTAAACAAGCCGATGTCAAAGATTCACAGAAGACGGGAACAACAATAAACCAGAACCAAGATAAATACCAAAGGAGAATACAAGTGTAACGAGCTATTGGGCTAACAAGAACCGCAACAAGGAATGGGAGATGTGAGTATATACAGGCATGTCTTATTTCTTATTGGTCCAGGTCCTTGGAATTTTGCATGAATTTGACCTATCTCAAACCTCACCTGTCCTAGTTCTGCAACCTCCTTTTACAATTCCACCCTCTCCTCTCAACTAGACATCATGGCACCTTGTACATTTAAACGCCGCAGGCCCCCCCAACAACAACCCTGGCACACCAAGCTCACTCGATACCTCCAAAAATGCTCCAGAACTGCTGAACACTGAAAGTCTCACTGTGCATCTGACTTTCTCCACTATAAATTTATGCTGAGCTCATACAGCTTGGCTCTTTCCTCTGCAAAAGTTAATTACTTCAATACCCTCATAACCACACTCTCCCGCGAACCCAAACGACTATTTCACACATTTAACTCTCTTCGCCCTGCTGTTCCTCCTCCACCTACTAACTTGACCGCCTCAGACTTTGCAACTCACTTCACTGACAAGATCTCTACAATCAGAGAAGAGATCTCTCATCTTTCTTCTTCCCCTTACAATACTTCCCCTAACTTCACTCCCTATGCTGTTCTATGTTCATTCGCACCCGCTACATTGGAAGAGGTCTCTGCTCTGCTCCAGTCCTCCTGCCCCACCATCTGCTCCCTAGATCCAATTCCCTTGCATCTCATCCGTACTCTGTCTTCTCTTTCTCCACCTCTCACTAAAATTCTCAATCTCTCTCTCTCCTCTGGTATATTTCCATTCTCCTTCAAACATGCAACTGTAACCCCAATTCTAAAGAATTCCAATCTTGACCCTAACTCCCCATCTAGCTATCGTCCTATCTCGCTACTGCCTTTTGCATCCAAGATCCTTGAAAAAATTGTGTATGCGAGATTGACAGACTTCCTCGAGTCCAACTCTCTGCTAGACCCTCTTCAGTCTGGTTTCCGCGCTAAGCACTCTGTGGAAACGGCACTGACCAAAGTATCCAATGATCTACTCGCTGCAAAATCTCGTGGTCACTACTCTATCCTAATTCTCCTTGACCTGTCTGCGGCTTTTGACACTGTTGATCATCAACAGCTTCTTCTCATCCTCCGCAATATCGGTCTACAAGATATTGCTCTCTCCTGGTGCTCCTCCTACCTCTCCCAGCGCTCTTTCAGTGTTTCTTTCTCTGGCTCTGCTTCTTCTCCCCAACTCCTCTCTGTTGGTGTCCCCCAAGGTTCAGTCCCTTGGTAAACTCATTAGCTCCTTTGGCTTCCAATATCATTTCTATGCAGATGACACGCAAATCTACCTGTCCTCTCTTGATCTCTCCCCGTCCCTCTTGACTAGTGTCTCTGACTGCCTTTCTGCTGTTTCTAACTGGATGGCTGCCCACTTCCTTAAACTAAACTTGACCAAAACTGAAATTCTGTTGTTACTCCTGTGTCTGTTTCCCTCCAAGTCAACGCTGCTACCATCAGCTCCACCACGCAGGCTCGCTGCCTAGGTGTTCTCTTTGACTCCGACCTCTCCTTCAATCCTCATGTTCAATCTATCGCCAAATCCTGTCATTTCCATCTCAGAAACATTGCATGCATCCACCCCTACTTAACGCCAGATGCGACTAAGGTGTTGGTCCATTCTACTATCCTTTCTCACCTTGTAATCCGCTTCTCAGTGGTCTTACGTGCTCCCAACTAGCGCCGTTACAGTCCATAATGAATGCGGCGGTGAGGCTCATCTTCCTGTTCGCCCGCACCTCCCATGCCTCACCCTTCTGACAGTCCCTACATTGGCTTCCTATAAAATATAGAGCTCAATTTAAAATTATGGTTCTTGCTTTCAAATCTCTACATAATGCTGCTCCCACCTATCTATCCTCCCTTATATACAAGTATGTCCCGTCTAGGCCCTTACATCTATCTTCTGTCCCTATTTCCACCTATGATGCTCGCCTTCAAGATTTCTCGAGGGCTGCACCGTTCCTGTGGAACTCGCTTCCCTCCTCCATTAGATGCTCACCCAGTCTCCACTCCTTCAAAAAATCATTAAAAACTCACTTCTTCATAAAAGCATATCAATTAAACTGTTAATAGCTCCTGACTGATTCCTCTTCTGCAACTGTCACTAGTCTAATACTATCCTTACCTTTTTGTGTCATTTTACCCCACTCCCTCTAGCATGTAAGCTCATTGATCAGGGCCCTCAACCCCTCTGTTCCTGTGTGTCCAACTTGTCTGGTTACAACTACATGTCTGTTCGTCCACCCATTGTAAAGCGCTGCGGAATTTGACGGCGCTCTATAAATATAATAATAATGATGATTCGTGGATAGTAATTGACCCCTCTAGTTTGACCTCTGTCATCATATTTGTGCGCCGAATTTGGCATTTGGTTCGACGAACGCCGAATTCGGGACTGCATTTGGGTGCACATAAATGCACACTGTGTTCATGCGTTCAGTGTCGGACAGAACCCCGGAGGAAACAGAGAAGTTAGCAGCCGTGGTGGCAAGCCAACCGTGAGAAATGAAAAATCTTTCTAACTGCTCAGTCTATCAGCAACTATTAATTGTTTCAGTAAATTTTTCCTGGTTTGCTATGTTTTGGTTATCACGCAAAAGGACCTCAATTGGCATAACAAAACACTAATGGGCCATACCATTTTACTGTGCATAGGTGCTCAAACCACTCTCCAAAAGCCTTACGAAAAAAAAAAAAAACATTGTAGGAAGTTTAGCTTTTTAGTTTGCCCCCAGGCATTTTTGAAAAATATGGACTCACTCATTACCCTGTAACAAGGAGGAAGTAAATATCAGGTTGCATACTGTTTAGCCAGAATATACTACCCCATATACTATATAGTGAAAATTTCAATATGGTCTATATGTCCTTAGTATAAACACAGAAAAAAAAGTTTCTCTATTGCAGAGAAGTGCTGTTTTTGTAGTCATAGTATCCTTCAAATATTAATATTAAAATAAGTACCAGAACCAGCATGGTTAATACGAGTGTAAGGAGCCACAAAATGCATGTTATGTACATTTGTTTTGTCTTTCCTGGGCTCCCTGCGTCGTGTGGTCTTCAGAAATTAATCCTGTCACAGCAGTTTGTCTTGTAGCGTTTCTCTTGTCAGTTGTTGTTGTTGTTACTATATGGGTCTGCCTACAGATTGAATTGCCACAGGCTACATTTTTTTTTTATGGCTTATACACTGTTCATGTCTGTTAATCCTTCGTTATTTCCCTCCTGGCAGCAATAACAAAGTTGTGAGTTGTTGGTTCCACAATGTTTGTTTCTGCATTATGCTCAGGTTGCAACTGCACATCTAATCTGCAGGACTAGGTTAATACCTCCATGACCCAAATCAGGGTATCTGTCGCTCGACTTCTAGGTTCCTTCATGGAGAGAGTGGCACATCTGGATTAACTCTTTCATGGAAGGAGAGGGTGCAGAAAAACCCAAATTAAGAGTGTCCTTGTCTCTTTGGATAGGTCGGCAGAGCAGCTTCTGGGGTACTGCTGTTTAGAATTATTAACCCCCTTAAGGAACAACGGCAGTCAATACAATTGTATAAATCTTTATTCTTAGATAAGGTAGAGAAAGGATTGACCAACTCAATTACAAGAACAGAACTGCCAAATCAGGATGTTCGGTATTGGTATAAGGTGTTTAGTGACCTGATTGATGGCAATGTGCAATAAGGGTTTATGTTATCTTGTGAAATTTCATTGTGTTATTACCTTTTATAGAAGGGCACAAAACTACATTGTATTATAACGTTTTTAGATACACTGAACATTTTGAAATACATCCAATAATGAATTCAACTGCTACATTACATCATATGTAAGTTTATTTTTTTTTATATCTCTTAGAAATTGCTACACATCATGCCTACATTCTCACGTTATCTGCTTACATTATGGGATTAGGGCCAACGTTTCCACTGCTGATCTATGGTAGATTTATTTATTTTCCGTTGGTGCTCTTACTTAACAATCTTTGCTTTACGATATTCCATTAAAAACACTCAAAACTCTTCCCCACACAATAAAGAAGTAACCGCTTAGTGACTGTAAACCAGTGCAGTGGAGTTTATACGTGTGCAGACCATAAAATTGCGCATGCACGCACCACAATTTTGTGATGGTACATATAACATCGATAGGTGATGCATAATATTTTTAGCAAATGTATGTATTTTAAAGCAGTCTGACATCCTTGTGACTCCATCTGACACCCCCGCTTTAGGGCTGAATTATTTGTCACATCTGAGAATCTTATGTTATTTGCTTTTTTATTTATTTAATAAAGCACTTTTTTTGGCTTTCACCCTTGACAAATGAGGCAAGTTAAACCCTAAAACACGTGGTACAATTTAGGAATGTTGTAAGGGGTCACTGGTAACTTGGCAGATGTAAACCGGTAGCCAACAAAGGACCTTCACAGGGCATCATATCAAGGGGCAATTGTAATACCATCTTAATTCATATGCATTAGCTTAAGTACTTAGCCGAAACAAAACAGAAGGCCAGCCAGCTGCATTATGAAGGTTAGACCACATTCTGTTTTATATTTCGGTTTGTGGTTAATCTGTTTAATATGTATAATGCAAAGTATATTACTGCCCATTTTAGCAGAATACCAAGGCAGTTTAGAGTAAAATCACTCTTTTATTAAGAGATCAACCCTGATGTGACATTTCTTGGGATGGGATCCTAACCAAACGTCAACATCTAAATACTGTTTTACAGTTACCTCTGCTTCACATTCTCGTTTTGGTGTAGTATGTGTAAACACTGAGTGTACGCGACATTAATGAAAACTAGTTTAGATTATAAAATGGACTGTACGACTTCAGCTCTTAACTCCTTAATTGCTAGCATGAGGTCGGTGAATGAGTTAAATTATCCGATTGCTCTGTCTGGAGTATTCTCTAAAGCCTCTTTTTGTTTTGAGATGTTACTTCTTAGAACCCAGACTTTCTAGTCTGTTATAATCTGCTTAACTGTGATTAATATTCCATAGAGATATTATGCTGCGACTCTTTGTGTCTAAAACCTCCAGGAACGTTTTGACATACAAGCTTTCCAAATTGTGCACAGGTTATTTCAGTGAAGCTATAAACCGCTCTGTTCCGCTGGAACTCCTGTGTTTGATTAGCAGTTGACTAATACAAGGTGTCGAAAATAAAACATTGTGGTCCCTTAAAGGAATAGACTCACATAGTTGTACTGGCAACTACAAATTCGTCTTTGTCAAGAACCTTGCTTTTTACGGTTGTTTTTTCCCCCTCTTCTATGGCAGCGTCACACACAACAAACATATAAGATGAACAGATAGTTCCTTTTTTTAAATTGTCAGATAAAATATCCCGAGGTAAGTAAAAGAAGACAAGCAAACTCTGATGGACTTAATAACCTCATGTGTTTTATTTATAAAGTAATAAATATGATGTAGTGTAAACAAACTGTACAGTGGCTGCCCATGTTTTGCTGGTTCGAACTGTCGATTCTCTGTACATTTTGGATGGAGTGTTGGGCTGATATTTTTAGAAGCACTTCCTGTGCACAATGGAGGGACCTGCCTCATCGTACTCTTGTTTGCTGATCCACATCTGCTGGAAGGTGGACAGAGAGGCCAGGATGGAGCCTCCAATCCATACGGAGTATTTACGCTCAGGTGGGGCAATGATCTAAGAAATAAAAAGGTATAAGAAACATGAGTTAAAGTGGCATGATGGTGGGTTGAAAACTTTATATAAAACAGGCCATCTTAGTACAATTATATAGCAATTCTAAGTTTACACAGATTTCTGTTTACTTTATTGCATTCGTATCCACAGCCATATATGTTGCTTCTCCTTGGCTGTTTTTGCTTTACACATATTTAAAGCAACAAAAGCTAAGCTTGACAGTGGTCAAGAGGTCCCTGACCATATATAGGTAAGTTTTCAACTACCGACCTTCCAGAACTCAATAATGGACTGATTTCTCCAAAGGCTGACTGGTATTGAACCACTGTTATATAAATGCTATTTGGTGCTTTGCATGTAATGTATAGTTAGGAATTTAATTTTTTTAAAAAATTTTTTTTTAATGACTCACCTTGATTTTCATGGTGCTGGGAGCCAGTGCTGTGATTTCTTTCTGCATTCTGTCAGCAATACCAGGGTACATGGTGGTACCACCGGAGAGGACATTGTTGGCGTACAGGTCCTTACGGATGTCAATGTCGCATTTCATGATGCTGTTGTAGGTGGTTTCATGGATACCGGCAGATTCCATACCTGGTGTTGGCAGAAAGGGAGATCAGGACATATTAGCAGAATCAAAGTGAGCAAGTGGAACAGATGATTACGATCCCCGAGGCTGCATTTAATCAATGGTGCCAAATGGTAGCAGCTGTTCAAAGCATGCAGTATCCTAACAGGTGGTATGGCTTTAAGATAATAAGGAGGTCTTTGTTGGAGCAGTAGCTTATCTTGGCACAATGATACAGAGTCCTTTTACCCTCTTTAAAATAACTCCACAGTGAACTAAACTGGACTTTACAATATCCCTACTAGCATTAGCGGCTTTTGGACTTTGTCCAAGGCTTTTAATATAAGTTTAGATCTTCAATAAAGGTATTTATATTTAAGTAAATTTGCAACTGGCCTTATTACAAAGTCCTAGTGCTACAGATATCCACAATTTATTTTCCTTGATTCAAGGAAAGTAGAGAGAGGGTTATTTTATAGCTATTTAGGATATCTGTATTTTTTTAGCCTTCCAACAACACAGTCAAGAGTGGGTAGATATCTCACCAATGAATGAAGGCTGGAAGAGAGTCTCTGGGCAACGGAACCTTTCATTTCCAATGGTGATGACCTGACCGTCGGGAAGCTCATAGCTCTTCTCCAGGGAGGAAGAGGAAGCAGCGGTTGCCATTTCATTCTCAAAGTCCAGAGCTACATAGCACAGCTTCTCCTTGATGTCACGGACAATTTCACGCTCAGCTGTATGGGACAAATAAATTGCAACATTAGAATTGTGTTATCCATGCCGCCGTGGTTATGTTGACGTGGCCTGGTGATGTGAATACTTTAATATATTGACTTAGCATTTCCTGACTAACCTGATTCTGTATAAGAGAGTTTCCATTGAACAATGTTTATTAATATAAATAGGCATTATGGAAGTTTACATTCAGGGTACATTAACAAATTCTGCATTAAATTACAGTTCTCTAAAAAGGGACGTGCGCTGTGTTTGCCCTCTGGGTGACAAAGACTGCTTTGTTTGTGCATATAAGCACTTCACTGCAGTAGGAAATGCTGCTAATCATATCATATAAGAAGAATGTGTCTCTCAAGGCTGTGTCAGGCTTTTTGTATTGCCTCTGTATGGGAATGTGCCTCAGGTATAGAAATTTACGTAAGAAACGGCCTAGCTCAATGTGTCTTTGTGTCTTTGTTCCTATAATGTATGTATGCTGTGTAGTTAGTAGTCGCTTCGAGGTGGTGGCTTCAGTGTAGAATGTTTAGAGATCCACTGGAGGACCGTCAACTTGCCTGTGGTCACGAAGGAGTAGCCACGCTCAGTCAGGATCTTCATGAGGTAATCTGTGAGATCTCTACCGGCCAAATCCAGACGCATGATGGCATGAGGAAGGGCATACCCTTCATAGATGGGGACATTGTGTGTGACACCATCACCAGAGTCCAGAACAATACCTGTTTGGCAGAAGAAGAATGAAAACTTGTTATGTGGCAGACATGATTGAAAACTAGATGATGATAGCAGAGTCGCCTTGTCTCTACCGCTGGATGTTTAATGTAACCCCTTTTTACCACCAGAAGGGACAACTAGACATGGCCGCTCAATTATTTAAAATGTTTATTATCTGCCAAGTTTAAAAAAAAATTGCACCAACATTGCTGAAAACACAATATGATGTGTCTAATAGACCTCCACGGTATTAAAAAAATAATAATAATAATTTGAAAATAAAAATTCAGATACGTATAAACACTGAGCTGATTTTTCCCAAAGGGCAGGAGGCATTGCAGCTATACACCGAAATAACTCGCAGAATCTGGCAGTAAGCGAGGGCAGCCTGCAGACTTCTTGTATGAGAGAGATTATTACACTTGCGGCCACTTTCTTCAGTCTTATCAGCTTGCTAGCTTTAGGGATTTAGAGGGGAAAAAAATACATGCAGAGAACTTGCTCCTCTCTATTTATATAACAGACAGATGTTTGTGCCCCTGTGTTCTGTGTTCTGCATAAGGCAACATGGGGTCACATTTCAATACCCCCCTCCCATCCTCTGATAAGTGCTATTTTGGCAAATACAAGCCTAAATAGGCTGGATTTAGAGGCAAGATGCCTGTGTCACCACAAGTGCAAGAAGATCAAAGCTCCTATGCATTCTGCTTGAACCTTTGATGAATTAATGTGACTTTGATGTTTTATTGAGAGTTGATCTGGAAAAATACAAAGTTACTTGCTACAAAAATAGAACCCTTTCTGCCCCAAGTTAAGTTTGTACAGCTCAGCTTGGGAATACCAGGTGGTGCTGAACATTTATTCTTCTAACCCTACTGGAACAAAACAAAAAACAAAAAAGAGTTGTCTTCTTCATTTATAAATTATATTTACCAGGTAGAAGGAAGACTTTAGAGACACGAGCAATGACAGTGATTGTGGTACTGTAGGTTTTGGGGTTAAGATTCCACACAGGAAAAAAAATGTTAAATATTGGGTAATTTCATGACACTAGCATCGCGTTAAAATCAAAATATCTGACTGTGATGCTTGTAGCTACTACAAAGATCTCAGTATAAAGATGTTTCAGGATCACAAAATTCCTGCATTCATTTATCAAAGTATAGTTGTGTTTTTTTATATTGTACTGATAGTTCTGCAGTCTATCATATTTCATTGATCTGGTATGGATTATAAAAGCTTCATCATCTTGTCTTTTCATTTAATATCCATAATAGCACAATTTTTTTTTTTTTTTAATTTTAAAGCCAAAGGGAATTAGGTTTATAAAAGTAGTTTGGCCAAGGCTCTCTTCACCCACTGGACGTGTATGGCTTAAATTTTTTGTTAATTTAAATGTTTGTTCTGTGTATCTATTATACATTGCTGCCAAATATGTTGACGCTATATAAATAATTGTAATTGTAGCGTCGTAGTATTAATTGATTGGTCAAGACTATTAATTCTAAGAATATAAGTATAAATTCTGTAGTTTATTTTCTCACCTGTGGTACGACCAGAAGCGTACAGGGACAACACAGCCTGGATGGCGACATACATGGCTGGGACGTTGAAGGTTTCAAACATGATCTGGGTCATCTTTTCACGGTTGGCTTTGGGGTTCAGTGGGGCCTCAGTGAGCAGGGTGGGGTGCTCTTCAGGGGCCACACGCAACTCATTGTAGAAGGTGTGGTGCCAGATCTTCTCCATGTCATCCCAGTTGGTGATGATACCGTGTTCAATTGGGTACTTCAGGGTCAAGATACCTCTCTTGCTTTGAGCTTCATCACCTACGTAGGAGTCTTTCTGACCCATACCCACCATGACACCCTGGTAAAGGAAATGGAAGATGTATATTACTGATATAGTTTGTAATGCATGCTATATAGAAGAGTCAGCAGAACTCACAAACGCTTAAAACATAAATGATTCCTTTAATTATCTCCTCCTAACTCTATGCTATTTAATAGTTCTTTGGCTCAAAGATAGCCTCACACAGATCTAAAGGTGACACAAGGTCACGCACCTTTGCCAGTTGGCCCTACAAGCAGTACAGGAGGATTGTGACCCTGGTACGTGTGAATCCAGCTCATTCCCAACGGAGAATTTGGCAAGACAGGCCAGTAATGGATACTAATGGGCTGTTGGCAAAGCTTAATTTTAATATGTTCAGCTTCCCCTCATGAGTGGCGGAACTTTAATACTTGTTCTGCCAACATTTCATCTATGGCCGGGCCATTCACTCACTGCCAATGTTAACAGCATAACAAGGACAATTCATTACACGAAGACATAATGACACATCTGAAGTCCTGTTCTCTGCTAATTACATATTGGTATTATCTTTAAAACGTGGACATGGTCTGAAGACCTTAATTACATCCACTAATACTAGAGGGGGAAAAAAAACAAATTTTTAAGAAAATGTTCTTAAATAATTAACTGGGGAATCAACGTTAGCTACTATTTGCTGCATCATGGATTAATGTTAGAATTATTTGTGTTATTTTTTAATGTTTTCTTTTTTGAGGAAAGTGTATTTTATTTAAGACTAGAAAACTGCTAATTCCACTAGAAACACGTCAATTACTCCCAGACACCCCAAAACACGCAAAAAAGTAGATACCTGGTGACGAGGGCGACCAACGATGGAGGGGAACACAGCACGTGGGGCGTCATCCCCAGCGAACCCAGCCTTTACCAACCCTGATCCGTTGTCGCACACAAGGGCGGTAGTCTCCTCATCGTCACACATGATGGCAGGCTAGGTTCTGTGAAGAGCAAAACATTCAACATTTACTCTTTAAGAACATTTCTTTCTGTTATTTGGTTTTAACGGTCTACAAAGAAAATCTGTAGGTCAGCATTCCCTCTTTAAAATTGAACATCCACGTGAATATGGGTTCAAAAAGATTTGAACAAGAAATGTAAACATTGTTGAAGACTTATTAACCCATGCTTAACTGCCCTACTAATATACTATTTAGACACTTTTACACACTTTTAAAATGTATGGTCTGTGCAGTAACACAGAACCCGGATACATATGTCACACCTTCACTTGGAATATTGTTTAGCTTGTTAAAAAAGGACTGTCTCCAGTTACACCATAAATGTCATCAATATAGGGCATAATAGCTGAATTTTGGGAGGAGCGGGGGAACTAATCTATTACTTCCTACCTTACCGGTTTATCTTAAATCACTGTTTAGTGAATAATGCCCTAAAGTCTTCAATAACATATCATTTAGAAACAACTTTTTGTCTGCCTGTCCTATGTCTGTGAGCGGTTAAGAACAATTAAAATGAATTTTTAAAAAAAATAAATAAATAAAAAGTTTACATTAATACACCCTATTTTACTTGTTCTACGTATAATGTGTCTGAAGGTAGTGTAGCGCTCACACAGCCATCATATAAAGTGTTAAAGTATGTACTAAAAGGTCATTTGTATTTAAAAAAAATTATATATGGAAATACTACTTTTTGAAACGTATTCTTAAAATCTAATTCTATCCAACATTGCACAATCGCTCAACTGACACATACCAAATGTGTTTAATATCAGTCAATGTGGAAGTGAAATGAAGACATATGCTACACAAGTATACAATGTGTTAAGAGTTAAAAAGCATATGTCTTGTGTGTCACTTCTCCCTGCCACTCCACTAGCTCATATGTCCGAGAGCAGCTGTCTCACACATACAATCCTTTACTGTCTCTCTCCCCTGTCTATCCCCACCCTTGAACACATGCAAGCAAACAAGTCTTATATGATCTGCTTCTTAGCTACTTAACCCCTGAGACAAAATTTAAACAAAAACAAAACCCGGTGTGTCCCACAGATAGGAACTAAAAGCCATTTTGGTGACGCATGATAATATTTAACTGCCTGTCTGCCAAAAGAACCCTGTGAAACGCCTCAGTAAATCAGTTTTATTCTTTGTAACCTGTGGTGTTATTCGTAGTTATTCCTAGTTTGTTATGCTAGTGTTGGCTAAGGCAGTAGTGAGAGACAGTGAGATTTATGAAACCAATGCTGATGAAAAGTGGAGCAGTTACTGTGGAAACAAATGCACAAATTAGCAGGAATGTCCACCTAGTTCCCATAGTGATTCCTTCACTTTTAGAACTGTACCACTTTTCTATTGGCAACACTTTTATCCTATAGAATTAGAAAAATAACCAGAGCTTAAAAGCCAGCCCTCACAAGTCTTCCACCACAATATGCAATTATCCATCCAATCCGATATAAAACTTGGGTGGATTCTTTTAGAAGAGTAATGGCTTACTCTGCTTAGTGAATAGCAGTTTTCACATAGACCTTAATATAGAAATTGCTATTTAGCAAACAGAAACCAACTTATGCTAAAAGAATCCAACATCTACAGAGCAGAATTAATGTTTAAAAAATATTGTTGTCACTATTTAGCATCAATACTTATTTATATATGTATATATTGCCAAAATGGCATTATTGCAGTATGCAATGAAACCCTTTTTTATTGAACTAACATTATATGTAAAAGATGAGCTTTCGAGAGTTGTCCTCTCTTCCTCAGGTCTGTAACTTTCTGTATTTACTGTTATTTTACACCTCAGCAGCCTGACATGTTTAAGTGTAATATGTAACTATTAATTCTGCAATTTATAAGTGCCTCCATTTACTTTGAATTTATATCATCTAGAGATCTGTAACCACCTCTCGAGAAAATATCTCCCTCCTCCCCACCCACATTCCAGAGTGTTCAGATGCTAAAAGCCATTTCTGCCTCTGTTTATCAATGCTTGTCACCACAATACAACTGCCTGTGAGCCATTGCAGTTCTGTTCCAGGAATAAAGAACGCAGGATTCAATTTTGTGCCAGAAATAAAAAAAAGAGGGGAAGGGGCGTTTGCAAAAAATTTTTTTACAAAATTACGAAAGTCCTGACTAATTTCATAAGATAAAAAAAAAAAATAAAGGAAAAAAATATAAATATATATATATATATATATATATATATATATATATATATATATATAAATAAATAAAATATTTAAAAGACAAACACACCAGAGGGTGCTTGACTTTGTCTCAAAAATCCCAATATCCATCTGAGAAGAAGGCAACAGGAAGCCACCTACAGGTCCCTTTGGGAACTTACCTGGTCAGCACTGGAGAGCTGCTTGATGTGAATAATTTGGCTGGGTGCTTGCTTTGGGACTGAGCTGTCAATTTATACCCTGCCTGGTGATGAGGAGTCAGTAGGGAGCTCCAGTGAGAAACGCAGGCGGCCCTGTCCTTATTTGGTAGCTTCTGGGCTTTTGAGTAGCAAAGAAGCCATTAATGGAGTAGGTGAGGGGGGAGGGCAGGGTTTGTGGACCCCATAGCCCATGTATGGAAGGTATGGAGGTGGGGAGAGGACTACGAGGGATAGCCAAATAGGGATTCCCAAAAAAGCATGTCTACAATGCTGGGTAAAAAAAAAAAAAAAATCACAATGAAGAAATAGTTTGTGCTAAAACATGCACTGTTGAGGGGCCAGACAGGTGCAGCACAATTGGGCAAGGGGGAGAATGGGGGGGTTAGTGGGGGAGTCTGTGAGACAGTCTGTGTGTGTGTGACATGCTCCTGGGGCTTTACAGCAAGGAGATTTGTGATCTGTTTAAAATACTTTAGACAGGAGTTTAATTTGCTTCTTAGTTGTATAGTAATAATACAAGTGAGATCATATTAAGTAGGGGAGGATATGTCACAGGCTTCCTGAAAAAAGTGTCATGATTTATACATTATTTCAGTGTCATAACCTATGTTAAAAGCCATTAATTCAAACCAGAATAGAAGGTAAACGTCTATTTTATCAAGTTTTATTACTTTGCATTTAATGCAAGAGGAACTTTTCATAAACTTATTAGTCGAAAATGTAGTCAATTTGTTTAGCGTTTTTTCTTACTTTTTTCATTATGTCGAATATTTCTGAATGAAATGTGGGGGGGGGGGTGAATTATACTTTTTTTATATGGACTGAAATCAAGGTGTGACAGAGTCTCCAGCAGTGAACAAGTTAATGTAGAATCGCTTGGAATTGTATTGCATTAAGAGCTTACACTCTAACGTGAACACAAAGCAGGTCTAAGGACATCATATATGGAAACAGTTGAGTGTTTGGCAGAATAAGGTTAAAGTTGTGCCCTGGGACAAGATGTCAAGCCAGATTTCTAAATGGAAATCCCCCTTCTCTGCTCTACCCTCGTGAGGAGGGTGTTAATGGATGTGTGATTTTTAGAATTTTTACTGTCCATAGAGAATAGCTGTGTGCGTGCTTTGTGTACTGTTGTCCATCATATCGTGTTATGTATGTTCTAGACACACCATAATAAACAATGTATATCTTATATGGCAATATTTCCCCCCCACCCCCCTCCCCAGATATATGCTTCCAAGTTATGTATCTTTTATATTACACAGTGTTTTATGTTGGTTTTAGTGTTAAGGTAGTGTTAGTGTCGTGTAAGGGTTAATGTTTAGAGTAGCGTGTTAGGGTGAAGGTTAAGAGACATACATGTCGCACTCCTACTTGAGATTTGTGTGAGTTACTTTACCTTGTGCCACTCAGGAGTGTTACCCCCACAAACCTCAGGCTGACCAATACACATATATTCCGCTTGCACCCAAGATTATTGGAAGTGATCCATGCATTATTACCTGTTCATTAGGGGAAATAATTTCATGGATGACATCACCGACTGTGCTGTACCGAATAGTAAAACATGAACTGGCCGTTGGAATAACAGCTAGATTATGCAATACATAAAGTATTCATAATGGTTAACTGCTTATTTTAGGAATAATTTTGTTACAAGGGCAGCACTAGAACACGAGTCCCATTGCTGCCTGAGATTAGTGGGGGTTAGTTTCCCTTGTAGCGGCTATTTCTGCTGCCATCATTAAATGGCAGCACATTTTGCTTGTGAGTGTAACTCCCAGTACTCCCAGTACTCTCGATACATTACAGTGTTCTAAAACATGCCCAACAAGGTACCATTTCACCATATGATTGCGAGAATTATAAACCACTTGTCATTCAATATTGTGGTTTATTATGAAGTCTCTAGAAACCCCTCTATATAATAATTTATCCATTATACATGTATTCACTGCCTCATTCCCTGAGAAAGGAATTATGGGTTGATCAAAAGATTCAGAGGAGCTTAGAAAACTTTATTTATTCTCATGATTCTGGGCAGGTTCGGAAATCATTGCTTAAAAGGACTGCATCTCTCTGTGGTCAGAAGATCCAAATCCAGAAATATAAATCTGTGTTTCCACGAAGTGTGCCAGAGTAAAGACTAAAGGATTTCCAAACACTGAATGCAATGCTCCAAACACTATAATCACTACAGCCCGCTGTAGTGGTTATGTTGCCAGGAGTGCCCTGATGTCCTCCAAGTGTAAATAGTCAAAGCATTTAAGAATGGTTTGACAATTTACCTGATGTACACCAGGACCACAGGTTAGTGAAAGAATAGTAGTTCTTCTGGACACCTACAGTCAGTGGCGTACACACGGTGCAAAAATTGATCCGTGGCCCCCCCCGCACGCTTACTCTGCGCGAGCCAGGTGCTGCAACACATGGTAGCGGGCACCTGGTCGCAGGGCTGTGACCCCTGCGACCGCGTTAGGTACGCCAGTGCATGCAGATACACATACACTTAAAGGACCACTACAGACACCCAGATCACATCAGCTCAATGAAGTGGTCTGGGTGCCAGGTCCCTCTAGTTTTAACCCTGCAGCTGAAAACATAGCAGTTTCAGAGAAACTGTTATGTTTCACTGAGGGTTAATCCAGCCTCTAGTGGCTGTCTCACTGACAGCCGCTAGAGGTGCTTCCGCGATTCTCACTGTGAAAATTGGTTTGAATGCGCATTCGGAGCTGAGAGGCAGATTGGGGCGGAGTGATCCCCAGCGCCAAGGGAGTCTGGCGCTGGAGAAAGGTAAGTGCTGAAGGGGTTTTAAAAACATACAGACGCATACACACTAGCTAACAGACACACATTTACTGACAGAGACTCACTCAGTGACAGACATACATACACACTCACTGACAGACACACATACACACTCACTTACAAAATATACACTCTCACTGACAAACACACACTCACTAACAGACACCAAACAGACCCACTAACAGACACACACAAACTAACACACACATTAACACACTCACTGACACACACACACACTCACTGACACACAAACCAACACACACACTGACACAAAAGCTAACACACACACACACACACACATACTCTAATACTAACACACATACACACACACTCTAATACTAACACACACTCTCTAATACTAACACATATATACACATTTTTTTTTTAAATGTGATCCCCCAGCCTCCCTACCTTTGGGAGTGCTGAGGGGATTCCCTGGGTTCCAGTGGGGCTGCCCGGCGGACGCGCGAGGGAGCACTCTCCCCTGAGCGCTCTCTGCCCAGCTCCCTCGCGCGCTGCTTACTGATGCCGGAGCCGGAATGACATCATATTCCGGCTCCGGCATCAGTTCGATGCGCGCGAGGGAGTTGGGCAGAGAAAGCTCAGGGGAGAGTGCTCGCGCGCCCGCCAGCCCGCCCAGTGACACAAGAGACAGCCCTGATGTGGCCACACTGGCGTACATATCGGGTGGGCCCGGTCGCAGCCGCGACCACGGTATGTACGCCATTGCCTACACTTATCCTATGTGGGCAAAATTTAGTTTGATGCTCAGCCAGCTGTTACATTTTTATTTTGTCCCTGGACCCTCTGTCCCTACCCTTTATATGTCTTCAGAATAACCGTATACGTTGCCTAAGATTCTGGCAATGGTATCCATTTGTGGGTTATTGCTGTACTCTTTAGATAATGCAAAATCAAATTGATGGTCTCTGGTCATCATAGAATACCCTTAAATTCAATATACAAGTGAAAAAAATATATAACTTACCACTATATTCAGCAGAAATTGGGGATGAAATAAACAAGAGAAAATAGGTAGTATCTCCCAAATTAAATAACTTAAGTTCTTTGCCTTTTGACAAAATCAGGCAAAGATGTTCACATAAGGTATTACTGTACTCTGGGGCAGTCACAAAATACCAGTTTGGGAATTTTATGGTTGTGGAACTCACAAGGTATGTGAAATTTGCCATGAAAATTAAGGTAAGCACCATAACCACTCCAGCAGTTTGACTTCTTATTTGGGGTATGCCAGTCCCTGCTCAGCCTTCGAATCTTCAAACTGAGAGTCGGATGCTCATTGGCTAACAGCAATCAGCTGACACTCTGAGGATATGAGCTTTCCCTGCACTGCATGACTTACCTCAGGAGAGTTAATGGAAGCTCCTTCTTTGGAGTTTCTAAGTCCCTGTCAGATGTAATGGGTAAAATAATTCTAAAATGTTTTGGCTCCTTACAATGGGGGAGGCACTATGACACTCCTGGCACAATATCCACTACAAGCTGTAGTAGTTACGGAGCTGTGAAGGAATACCCCATCACTTGGTTCAGCACATTTCATTTCCTTTATGTTCATTTATTTGTTTGAACCCACCTGGTTCAGTTTCCGAACGAGGACCACCCCAACACCTCATTAGAATATGGCATACAAAGTATCCAGTATGAAAACCACAACGGGAACAATTAATAGAATGCTTCCCTGGGTGGCCGCCATTTCGTGCAACCGAATGATGTGGAAATCAATCAATCAATGAATTGATTATCTTGTGTATCTGCCCCTGGCCAAATTAAAGAAATATTGCGTGCACGCTCCTGAAGTAATTCACACCAGACACAAGTTTCGGGTTAATGAAAAACTTGAGGAATGTTTATTCAGAGGGGACGACATGTCCCTTATAAAGCAAAATTACATCATAAACATTGTCAGAGATAACATGAAATAATACATCAATAATTGGTTAGGTGTTAAGTGGTTCATTTAATGCTCTGCCTACTGAGGGTGATGTCACCGGCATCTTGGAGGTCTCCCCCAGATTCCAGCGCCATCTTGTTAATGAGGGTGTTAGTCGATGTTAAAGGGGTAACTCCCTAGCGGCCATTTTAGGTAAATCACATAGAAAGTTGGATAATGCTGATTGTAGTTGTTTTGAGTAAATAGGCATTTTACTAATATAAATTGGGTTAATATTTTTGTCCACAACACGAACACATGTGGTTGATCAAATGGATGGCGGCCATTTTGTCTCCTGAACGCAGGCAGTGGTACTTGGTCGTCGAGTCACTGGAACTTATTTTGCCTAGGCACTCCCGCGAACACCCGTGAAGATGGAACTGCTGCTAATTCAAGTTCC